TTCAGTATCCACAGCATCAGAGCGGCAGAATTCACATTTAACCTTTTCATGTTTTCATTGATTGTTTTTTCTCGGGATGCATTGATACTGATATTGGTATTGGGTATGAGGCCGATACTGAGCTCATTTACTCAGAAAAATGCAACATTCAATACCAGCTGATACCGTGCCCCGTAAGCCGAGTGTAGCTGCTGTGCTAATGAACAAACTCAGTGAAGGAGGATCTGATCACCCAGAGAAGAGTTACTGACTCCATCACAGTCGGACACAAAGCCGTCGCTCGCTATAAACATTCCGCCTTGGCAGATTCCCACCAGGATACACTGAGAGATTATAGACTGTTTATAAACACACAATCACAACCACTAATCACAACTGCTTCCCCAACACGGTTGGAGACACGCAGGCCAACAAAACGGAGGAGAAAAAGTCGAGATGTCCTACCAAAGTCTGAATATGAGACTTTACTCTGTTTGAATATAATATCGAGATATAAACATTAATACGGTGATTTTTCTGTAATTCAGGCTGTAGAGAGACCGAACTGTCCTACCGTGAACATCAGCGCCTGCTTTATCTTCAGTGCTCAGTGTTAGCAGCGCTGCTCAGCGTCTCAGCGTGTTTGCTCAGTACTCGGTTATTTTGAGTGAATCAGCTTTATTGATAGCGGTCTGTAGACAGAGCGTCTGTGGAGGCTGCGTTTCCTGTAGCAGGACAGTCAGACAGAGCGTTTCGTACAGTGTGAGTTTATAAATCGTAGCTTTGTCTGAACACGATGGTCTAATAAACGGACAGTGAGAGTCACCAAAGAACAAGATCTCTAACATCACACAGTGTCTGGATTTAGAGGACATTCAGCTTCAGCTCAACCAGTCAATCAAAAGAAGCGTGAGCTCCTCGGATGCGTCAGCCTCAGATGTGATTCCTGCTGTAGCTGTGCTGCTGCTGAAAGAGACAGAGGAGGATCAAAACTATGAAAGCTACTTTACTCACAGCTGTACAGAAAAGCTTTTCTGACAGGGGAACTAAACCTGCACTGCAGCGCTGCTCGATCAGAGATCACTAATGTAGCATAGCGAGATAACGACCTTCATTAACATCCAATAGATTTAATGATTTGACTGTTAAGGTACATTTATACTCATTAATCTGTTATGGTATCAGACACCATATTGGTGAATAATAAACATGCTCTTGTCCTCGGTTTGAAACAAATGCTACCAATGCATCTCTAGTTTTCTCACTACAATGCAGCATGCATTGTGCAAACACACCATGCATTGGGAATCCCAGTTAATCCTTACTGCTAGCCTAGCCACAGAGCTACAGGCTAATAAATACAACCCGCAGAGATGGAGACTCAGACTCACCTTAAGGGACTCACGGCTCGAGATTTAAGGTTGAGAGAAAAACACAAACAAGACCTTTAAGTATGGATTTAATGTGTTGTACTGACAAAACCTTTCATTTCCAGTCTTGCATGAGTGACACTGCGTGCTGGTTTTACTGCAGTGCTGTTCTCCTGCAGCTCACAGCAGCGTCAGGTTCAATACGGCTCCAAATATACATGCTTTACAAAGCACGATGGCTGTAGCCGACGCCTCAGTGAGTTACAGATCACGTTCTTTTAAAACTTACTAACCCTGAAATGAATCAGCTGCTGTGCTAGCTAGCACATTGCTATACAAACTACATGTTAGCCAATGCTAGTCTTTAGTGCATGCTAGCATGTATATTTGTTTTCCTGAAGATACTCTGCTTTATTAAACTGGTACAGTTTGGTGTTATGATTGATTTGGCAGTGACAAAATGGAATGTTCAATCATTAGTTTCAATAAAATAATCATAATTAAGGTCTGGGGTTAAGGATTTTGGTTTGAGTCCAAGATCAGTTAAAAGTCCCAAATGTGTTTTTGAACCAGTTCAGTAGAATGACCCATATATATGCAGTCTAAAAAGGCAGCAGCAGAGTTTGTGGGACTGTCTGACTGTTAAGCAAAAGTTATTTTTAATTTTGAAACATCTCCACAAGATGCAGTTGGTTTATAATTGCAGCTGTTTTCCATTAAAACCAGTTCCATTAATAACTGTACCCACAGTGCATTGCTTGAAGCCTGATTTTAGCCATTTACGCCAGAACTCCTTTCACTGTGGGCTGTGAAAATTAGTGCACTTTGCTGTGTAAAGTGATTACGCATTTACAGACTTATGATTTGGCACAAATGCTCCACAGGTACCCGTTCATTCTGCACTCTGTCGAGAGCCCTTTTTAAAACCCTCTTCATTTGTTTACTGTTTTGTGCTTTTTGGCTCTCGGCCCATTATGAACACTGCACTTTGGCCCCACGAGAGAAAAGTCTGTGCACCCCTGCCGCTGGGCTGTGGCGAAGGTTCCTTTAAGAGAGTCTTGTGAATAATGTCCTGTTTGCTCTGGGTTCTGGCTGAGCTGCCTTTATCTGTCCATTAGAGCTGGTCTTTACGCCGTGTGTTTAATGTGTGAGGGCTCTCTGTGATATATGGGAGGGCCTGTTTACTCAGCTGTAATCTATGACTTATTGACATTACAGTCTCACAGTGAGCACAGTTACAGTTCAGCTCTGTTCTGTTCAGTTTACACATTCACTCTCAGTCGGGACTCACCTGCTCATTTTTACTGTATTCCACATTAGATTAACAATGACGGCCGCAGAGCTATGAAACAGTCAGTGGTGGACAGAGGGAGCCAGTCCTGCTCTTCAGTGAGCAATTCTCTTGAAATATTACTACAGTAAAAGTAGAAGGGCTATATTTATATTTTTAAAAAGTGCTTGCTTGCTAATGTTAAGTCATACTTGCATCATCTCCCCACCTTTATCTGGACACTTTTTTAAACATTTTGCCTCCCGTCCACAGAAATGGCCTGTTCAGTCACTGAAAACACAGCTGTTTTTGAAAATGCTGACATTACACTGTTTTAATACATTTTCATTCATTAAATATGCAGAACTCTGTCTAAAATATGGTTGATGACAGGATTGTTTCTGTGTGATTGACAGTCTGGGGGTGATTTGGGAATTGATAACATGTTTGTACCTGAATTTGGCTTTACTTTTTAATTATGATGATCATTAACCAAATGGAGATGGTAAACAGAGATGGTGATGTAACCATGGCAACGTAAACAACCCCACAGCTAGCAGTAGATTTCATTCGCCTTTCAAGCTTTTATTTTCTGGCAGGAATCGGACTTTGAATGTGCGAAATACTGAATTACGCAGGTCTGTCAACCTGCAGGTCAAAGTCTAACTATGTTGAAAAATCTCTGCTTCAGCTTTATGTTTTATAATTCATATAATACACTCACAATGTTGTTCTTGATGTGTTTGACATCATATTTTAGGATATTGTGGATGGAGAGATTTTCAAAAATGCTGTTTGTGAGGACGAAGGTTGGTTTGAATTTTTTTTAAAATGTCCAGATACGTGTGGTGAACCCATAGTAGCCCAGGCCTAGTTACAGTTACTAAACTATGATTGGATGTTCAGTAGTTAGGGATTTAGTGAAAAGTGCACTATGATTGGTTTGATTTACTTGTGAAAGTGCATCAAATCTAGTTTTTACATCAATGTATGTTGCTGAAAGTAGTGAGTAAAACAATATTCTGCCATGAAAAAAAATGTAAATAAAGTATCCCTCATCACCACACCTTCAGCCTGAACGAGGAAGGACATTTATTAGCTTTGTAACTTTGTAACACACTGTAATGTTTGTGCTTCCAACTCAAAATTTTCCAGTTCCAAATTTCAATACAGCTCAAAATAAAGATGACCTGCTTCAACAAATGCTATTAAAATTAATTTCATGAAATTCATGCATAAGCGCACATTTGCATATTTTGTCTTAAGCATTTAAGCATAAGCTTTAAGATCAAAATATCTTTACAATTATGAAGAAAATACATTCAAGGATGTCCAAACTTTTGACTGGTGCTGTAAATATCCATACACTGAGCTTGCTTTTAAGAAATAAAGAGAGCATGTGAGTTATGGAGGTTCTAGGACATGTGAAACGTGATCGATTCAGGTTCTAAAGCTTTGCAGGCGAATGTGTTGTAATAAACAACAGCAGCATTTATAAAAAGTCTACATCTACAGTATGTCTGATTTTCAACCGTGTTTGAATAAAACAGACATTAATACGTTGCTTTATGGTGGATATTGTATATTTTTGATGTGTTGAGGTCTTTAAAAGCTTTGCATTTGCTCTTAAACACTGCGCCTCCACCCTGAATGCATGACTGGTTACTAGAGAAGCAGCATTTCCCTTGATTTAACACTGAAATTTACTTTTGTAGTTGTTGTTTTGCTGGTCAGAACGCCTGCTTTGGTCAGACTGACGCATGTGTGCCCTCTGGTGGTCTGAGAGAGAGGGGCAGACTCATTCCCGGAGTGCACTAGGTGCATCTTATCTTGGTGAAGGCATGTATGATCTCAGATGGTGTAGATAGAATTCACAGTGCTTATGATCTTGTTTTAGACAAAAATACTCTCTCCTTCTTCATATCTTCCAGTAAAACTGTGGAAAAGGGTGGAAACTGTCCTGGTTGAAGCTTCACAAAGTCTGTTTTGAAAGGACACAGCAGAATAAAGACAGGCTGAAGCTGGAATGTCATCTTATTTGAATTTTCCATTCCACCTTAAATGGTGCAGCAGTTAAGGTGGAAAGGAAATGCTGCACCATTTAAGGTGAAACAAAAATTCAAATTTCAGCCTCTTAAATCCAGCTCTAATCCCACTTTACCACGAAAAAACTACTCTAATCCATCCCTAGCGTTGCCATGACAACAGTTTAACATTTCCACCAGCCTTTCTCTGCACGTCTGCTGCAGAAAAGCAGCCCTTTCACCAACGTCCCCCGTTCAGAGCTGCACCACAGAGTAAACACGGCTCTCTCCTCGCCTGTTCCATCTCAGCAGAGAGCTGGAATGACGCACAAAGAGCCGAAACGAGCGGCTGGTTGGGCTGGGTGGGTGCAGCCCCACCCCCTCTGAGCCTCCCTCACTCCTGTGTTGTGGTGGGAGGAGCTGCCGGACCGGTATAAAAACCCCATCCTCGCCCTGAAGGAGTCAGAATCAGACACTACCAGTGAGCTCAGCACTCCTAGAACCAGAGGAACCCTCGCTTTTCTCGGAACTACGCACCATGATTAAGAAAATGTCACCCTCGGAGAGCGAGTTCGACATCCCAGCCAAGAACTGTTACAGGATGGTCATTCTGGGCTCCACCAAAGTCGGCAAGTCGGCCATCGTGTCCCGGTTCCTCAACGGCAGGTTCGAGGAGCAGTACACGCCCACCATAGAGGACTTTCACAGGAAGCTCTACAGCATCAGGGGAGATGTTTACCAGCTGGACATTCTGGACACCTCGGGGAACCATCCGTTCCCTGCTATGAGGAGACTGTCCATACTTACAGGTAAGCAGCAGAACCCGTGGAGGTTCTTTGAGGGTTCTTTGGTTGTGTACAGTTTAGACATGCCATAGAGGAACCATGAATCTTTGCAGTTTAGAAATGTTATGGCTCTTCCTAGAAGAAGGTTCCTCACACATCTCATTCACAAATGTGCTGAAAGGTTCTTTAAGGCACCAAAAGCGGTTCTTCTATGGCAGAACCTACTTTGGCATCTTTGTTTTTCATTTGATATGCTTGAATGGTGAAAATGCGTGATGAAATGGTTCTTGAAGAAATCTGTTCATGGGTTTATATAGCAGTTCTCAAACTGCGAAAATGTGGAGTGTGCATGGGTCCCTCAGGACTGGTTTGAGAAACACCAAGTACATAGCACCTAAAAATGTTCCACTCTTGGTACAAACTAAATAAGCTTCTTTTGGTACTATATAGAACCAAAACAACCATTTCTGCATGCGATATGAAGTGAGATGAAGTTTACTTGCATTAAAAAAGTGCAAAAAAAGAACCACAGCGTATGTTTGCATTGACAATCATCTGGAGAAGTAACCGAAAGTGCTCCTTCGTCTCGTCCGCAGGTGACGTGTTCCTCCTGGTGTTCAGCCTGGACAACCGAGAGTCCTTTCGGGAGGTGCAGCGCCTGAAGCAGCAGATCTATGAGACCAAGTCGTGCCTGAAAAACAAGACCAAGGAGAACGTGGACGTGCCGCTGGTCATCTGCGGCAACAAGGGTGACCGCGAGTTCTCCCGCGAGGTCCAGCGAGAGGAGATCGAGCAGCTGGTGGCCGGAGACGAGCAGTGCGCCTACTTCGAGATCTCGGCCAAGCGCAACACGAACGTGGACCGCATGTTCCAGACGCTCTTCACCATGGCCAAGCTGCCCAACGAGATGAGCCCGGACCTGCACCGCAAGGTGTCGCTGCAGTACTGCGACGTGCTGCACCGGAAGTCATTCCGCAGCAAGAAGCTGAAGGACAACGACGCGTACGGCATCGTGGCGCCCTTCGCCAGGCGCCCCAGCGTGCACAGCGACCTGATGTACATCAAGGAGAAGGCGGTGGGCGGCGGGCAGGGCAAGGACAAAGAGAGATGCGTGATCAGCTAAAGAGCGTCCGGCTGAACCCGTGACACACCGCCACCACGGCACCCCGCGGTTGAGCTGCAGGCTGACGGAAGCGCACGTTGTTGCCGTTTCCGGACGGCGACGTCGAGAGTGGCGCACGCACCTGCGGCGGGAGCGTGACCCCCGCCATGCGGAAGTGCGTGTGAATGTCCATGAGACGTGTGAACTGTGTTCCGTTCGGTCAGAGCGCTCTGTAATGTGGCTTTCGTTTCTCGTGAGACTCGACTACTTTAAAAAAGTAAAATACCGTGCTTGTTACATCTGCCTCTATAACGATTTCCGACAGGAGACTCCAGTGAGAATAGCCTACTGTTTACACATTTTGTTACTTTATAACAAATAACTGAACTTGAATGTTTGTTGCTTTTGGAACAAATTTTTATTGTGAATGTATATTTATTCTTCTATGTCACTGTAAACTTTTGCAAATAGAAGAAAATGAAAATAAATGAATTTATCAAATATCCATGTTTCTTTTTCTCTCTATAATCATCTCCTCTGCAAATAAACTCAGTTAAACTCACAAAGACGAGTTTCTCAGTTAGAAACGTCAATTCCTGCATAATAAATAACGTATTCAGAGCGGTTCAGAGTCGTTCAGAGCGGTTCAGAGTGGTTTGGTGTGAAACGCTCCGTTCTACAGAAACTTACTGAGTCAGAACTGTTCACAGTGGTGGTGATAGGAACCAGACGTCCACCTCTAAAAGCTCCCTCACAGAAAGTTCCTACATGAAATGGTTATGAATTCACTGCCTGATGACTGAGACACTGTTTTATGATAGTTTTGAGAACTTAAACTCCATTCATGGTGGAGGGATACATGCAGGGCGCTGTGAGGCAAAATAGTCCCCAAAGAAAACTTATTATTTCTGATTTTCCATCATCAACATTCCATATACTTCCATTCACTGGTGGTTCTGGATAGTAAATAAAACGTCTATATTTGTGTTGTAGTCATGGCGACCCCTGGTTCCTATCACCACCACTGTAAAGACATCTGAACCATTTCACACCAAACCACTCTCAATCACTCTGACTACATCTCACACACTGAGTTATGGTGGAATTCTCCTTTACTGAGAGGCCTGATGATTATAACACATGAAAATGAGGCAGGTTTGTAGGTTTGAGAACGACCCAAACACACCTTCAGGTGCAGCACTTTCGGGGTTCCTCGCCCTCTGTATCTGCACAGTGTTGACGTCAAGACGCTTTTGGGAGCCTCAGCCTTCAGCAAGGCCTACAACCTGCAGCTCCCTCCTGACCTTCACTGCCCACACATGCAGGTCAGGTCTGTTTGGGATGCTGGCCACATTCTTCGCACAGAATATTTACACTGCAAAAAATGGTCTCTTGTCAAGTGAAATGACCTCAAATCTAGTCGATATATCTAATATTTCCCATTTTGAGATGGTTGTACACTTCTAAGATTATTTTCCTTATTTTTGGACATTATTTACTTGTTTTCAGTAATTTTATCAAGTAAAATTATGTCACTATACTGGCAGATCATTTTGTTGGTTTTGAGCACAATTCTTACAACAAGCACAATTATATGCTTTTTTACTAAATAAAATCACTTAAAACGTAAATAATGTCTAGAAATAAGGCACATAATCTCAAATTAACCTTACAGCAATCTCAACAGGAGAAATATTAGATTTATTGACTATATTTAGTATAATTTTACTCGACAAGAATCCATTTTTCGCAGTGTGGGCTGAAAATTGAGCAAGGTTTTTGTTCCTGGACTAAAAATATCACGTTTAACATCTTTCATTAGAGTTTTGGGAGATAACTGCACTTAGATTCACACAACAGCCTGAAAAAGTTCTTAACCTAAAAACTGAAATTAGACCAAGACGTTTCCAAGAGCTGCATAAAAGACTAGTTCAGAGGTCTTCAAATCTGGACCTCGAGTCCGATTTCAGGTCCTAGAGTTTGTAATCACTGGTCAGTTTGACATCAACAGTTCAATTAACTACCACTGATCACAAATATAACCCAGAAACTGGATTCAAGGTCCAGATTTTGAAGACAGTCCTGCTTACATCCCATCAGAGTCTGACTTTACAATGTGAAGCGCCCCCTTCAGGACACACAAATTTAAAAATATTCATGTTCATTTTTTCCTCCATTTAAAAATCCAGTGATGTCCAATTCCGACAAAACGTTCAGCACTAGGTGTGTCTCTTCCTCTCCGCAGCCCTTTCACCCCTCACGTTCACACCTGGTCGCTCGATGCGTTTGGAGTATCAGGATTTTTTCCTGATTATCCAGATTTAATTGCAAGTGTAAACGCAAACATTTAAAACAGATTTCACTCAAACCGCTTCAGGAGACAAATGTTAGTTTCCCCTCCCAGTGCTGTGACTCCTCCCCCTGCTGTCATGCATATGGGGTAGACTCCACCCACTGGACTGCCCCACTAGGCTGTCCAGCCACTCCTTCAGTTCAGCTTTAACTCAGGAACCCTCAGCTTAGTTCAAACAACTCACCAGCATAGTTAACCTTCAGTTCACCTTGTCAGTATTTAGTACTTTAAGTTTTAATGCGCGTGGTTCGTCACCATGACGACTAAAACAGGTCAAACACTTTAACAATCTTCTTCTTTGTTGCTGTATATGAGCTGATTTGCATATCATTGCCGTCTCTTTAGGACAGACTTTAAAGCACAGCTGGATTTTAAAGCATTACATGGATCAGCGCCTTCATACAGGATGGACTGTCGGTCTCTGTGTTCCAGATCGTTCTTTAAGGTCGAGTAACGCAGGTTTTCTTAAAGTACTGAGTTAAGACTAGAAAAGACGAGCCTTTTCTTTTTATGCAACATGATTTACAGAGAGTGACCAAACAGGCAACATCAGAACAGAAGCAGCTGAAAATATAATTTTACTTTGTTTTTAATGATCCTGTTGTTTTTACTTACATTACTAGCTTTAGACTGTAAACACTGCTGATATTCCTAGTTATGTTTACACTTACTGTAACTACCTCATACCACTTAGTGCAACACCTGCTCTCATAAAAATGAGGCAATCTGTCTTATATGCAATGTAAATATGCATAGATACACTTGTATTCCTACTCTCTCATACTTCACTGTAACTTATGTCTTTTTTATTTCTGTCTAATTTATGTAAGTTTATGTGTAATTATATGTTGCTACTGTAACACTGCAACTTCCCCTCGGGATCAATAAAGTTCTATCAGACTATCTATCTATCTCTCTGTTTGTCTATTTGTCTGTCTATCTATCTATTTGTCTATCTCTGTTTGTCTGTCTATCTGTTTGTCTATTTGTGTCTATCTATCTCTCTCTATCTGTCTGTCTATCTATGTCTGTCACTGCATTTATTTTGTAATTCGTGAATGCTATTTATTATTTATTTTAAATATCTATGATTGCTATTACTATTATTTGTTACTAATTGTTAGTACTATACCTGCTTTTACGATTGTTGCATATTTATTAATTCTTTTATGTTCATGTGATCTTATTTCAATATACTTTTTTATCTCTTTTTGTCTTTTAATCCTCTGTGAAACATCCGGAGCTTCATTCATGCATCAAAAGGCACTATACAGATAAAGCTTATTATTAATATCATTATTATTATTCGTCATACAACAATCAGATTTCATTCTGACGAACGCATTTGAACATGACGTACAAATACACGCAGTTAAAATCGTATTACGTTATGAGTCTTTGTGATTTGTGTTTGTTCTGGTGTCATTAAGTTGCCGTAACACATAACTCTACCAAATAAAGTCAATAAAGCTCCATGTGTGAGCCAGTGGAGCGATACACGCGTCTAAATCCCAGATATTAAAATTGAACTGTGCTATTTACGTGATTACTAGCATTCGTCTTAATATCTAACCGGTTAGTGTGACGTGCTGACCGTGTCCATTTGGTCTGTGTAATAAACTCCATTCACGCTGGCAGTGCGTTGGCTGTATAACGATTAACTGCAGCCACTGGCCTCATTTAATACTCATAATCATATTACTGCCTCACTGAGGCTACTATAAAGTCCTTGGACCTGGGCTTACTCACATATCTACAACCAATATTAACCATGCACTGCAGTACACTCACACTGCTGAATCTGAATCTGTTCTTATAAAACAGATTTATTAGATAGAGCTATGAGATTACAACGAAAATCCAGGTCAGTTCTTTACTGACCAAGAGACAACAGATCAACAGAAACACAGTGTCAGAGCTTAAGCAGTCATGTGAATGATGTGAAAGTCCAGACCGGCTGGCAAGGTGTGTCTTTCCTCCAATAAATAATCCGCTCTGCAGACGGCCGATCAGGAAGGTTTGGGGATGTCGAACATGCACAGGCCCTTGTATTTGTGCAGGAGCTGGTTTTTGGTGCGGACCTGATCCCTGAGCGTGTGCAGCCTCTGCTGCTGCAACGCAGGACTGGCGTCGATGCCGGGCATGGCCAAAATCTGCTCCCGCGCCTCCTGGATCCGCACCCTCAGCCTGTTCAACTCCTGGTGGACGTCCTGGTTCTCCTTGTCCATGCTGGGGGTCAGAGACAGGCTGAGTTAGTATTAATGCCAGTGAAGTGATACTACAGTGAGGAGTCGTCACTATAATGCAGTTTGAGGGAGACAGATAAGCAATAAGAGGCCAAACAGATAGAAAAACATCACTAATTCAACACAGACCAACAATTCCCTTCTTGGAATTTTCCGTTCCACCTTAAATGGTGCAGCAGTTACGTTCTGGCGCCTCAGGCTGCACCATTTAAGGTGGAACGGAAAATTCAAATGAGAACCTAAATTCATACAATTTTTTTCATTCTCATATGCAATGAATCATCTATAACACATCGAAAATCACCTCAAGAGTCTGAAAATGTAGATTATTTACTAAAAAACGTCCCTTTTTATCAATAAAGCGACCACAACAGTAAGTTGTGTTACCCTACAAGTGGTCAGTGACCGCCATTTCCGTATTTAACGATAAATACTCAGCATTCCCGGCTTATTTGTCCACACACAGACTCGTTATCGCACACACAGAGGAATATAAACGCTCCTACCATTTGATAATGTCGTGTATAAGAGGTAAAAAGGAGAAATCCTCTGCTTCCTCCACCACCGGCACAGTGCTCGCCATGTTTGCGGGGCTCGATCTTAATTCGCTCCCTACTCCCTACATAGCGCACTTTGTGAGTTAAGAAATCTTGGCTTCTGACCCGGGACAGTGGACAGGGAACACCTGGCTGAGTCCCAAATGCCTCTGTTGGATAGATCACGGCTTGTTTTGATCGCGGGAGACGTTATTTCTATGACCTAGGTAGGGAGCACGGAGGCATTTGGGACTGATCCCTAATGACTAAACGCAGACGCTCAGTTTTGCGTCATAAGCGTGTGACAGTGATGCGGATCGGCTAAATATGACTTTATTATGATGTCTAATTGTTTCTAATAATGATTGTTTATTTGTTTGTTTGTTTCTCCACAGATTAATCATTTCTAATTCCACCTTCTAGTTTGGTCCCCACTTTTATACGGTTTGTTACTAATAATATGTTTTCCTTTCTTTTTACCCATTTGGAAATCTGACATGTGGCAATATATGGACTTAAAACAAATGACACATATTGTCAAATTGTCATATTGTCAGCTTATATTAGTCAAATATGGACATATATGTGTCATATATGCCGATTTATTTGAAATAGTCCACGTTCAAACATATTCCACTCATATATCAATATATATAAATAACACATACAGTATATTTTTCAATATATGACAGAAAACATTATTCCTATATGGATGGCACATATTACTCATATATGCCAGCTTCATGTTATATAATATAAGGCGACATAATTAAACTCTAAAACATGGCCAGGCGCATTTAATATTGAATAATAATTTAATAATTAAAGACAAACATAACACAGTAACAATTCAGCCATTTATCAGACATGATCAATAATTTATGCAAATATCTCCAGTATTTGATACTGACATATACATGCACAACATATATGCAGACATATTTAGAAATATATACTTGACCATTTATGATTCATGTGCATATATAGCCATTTATCAAATTTCCTTATGGGTACACTTTAAAAAGATGCTTCAAGGGTTCTTTAGCAAAGAAATGGTTCTATATAGAACCATGAATACTCAGAGAACCCTTTGCATGCTTAAAGGGTTCTTTTCATTATAAAAGGGTTCTTTGGACTGATGGAAGATGTGCATGAATGTGCTATAGACAGTTCTGTATAGAACCTTTTTGAAAAAGGGTTCTGTATAACACCCAGAAGTGTTGCTCTATTGCAGCTTGACATTGTAACAACAGAAGAACCCTGTTGGGTGCTACATAGAACCATTTTCAAAAAGGTTTTATATAGAACCAACTACAGTATGTTCTCCATCAATCTGAAGAACTTTTCTTTCTTTAAAGAAAATTTCTGTATTAAGGCAAAATAAAAGTCTCCCTGAGTGAAGGCATTGAGGAAATGTTTTAAATGGAAATATTGGCAATATAATTTTAGGTGGGATGAACTGCAACCAGCTATATTTTGATTTTTAATGGAATAGCTAGGTAACGTGAACTGAGGGTGGGGCTGGTTGGCACACTGATTTCGGGGCTGGTTGGCACATGTGTAGCACCACTGCCACAAACAGATAATATTTATATTTTACATTTCACATTAAATTGAATTATTACATTTGGACTCTGAAAACACATTGTTCTCAAGGTGAAATAACAACCCTGAACCCAAACTAACTCTGTTTTACATTTAAATTTAAAAAAGAAATAGAAATAGAGAACGTCTGGTTTTACTCCAGTAATGTTACTCTACTTTCACAGGAGTCGTGTGTTTTGTCCACCACAAGCTGATGATAAAAAAAATTAGGTTGGAATTGAATGTTTACATTTGTGGTTTAGTTTAAAATAATTTCTGTTTGTTGCTTCGTTCCTCGACACTAAAGCCTTTGACGCTGTGCCAACATGGGTTTAGTTGTGAATGTGCTGATTCCAGCAAACGTTTTCAGACACTGACCGTCTGTTTTCAGCTGAGATGTTCAGATTATGTACGACACAGTTTGTTTGTTGTTCCTGCATGTTTCTCTCTCCTCTCTGATTCCCTCTGACTGAAGAATGCAGGCAGGTTGTCTGTTTGTGATAAGCTGCCTTATTTGACAGATTATGTAAGATCTGGTTCCAAACAGCTAGAACATCACATGATCTGAATCAGAGCAGAGCACCATGCTGGTCAGATGAGCAGAGCTGGAGAGCACAATAGGGACCACATTGTCTGTCCCGGCATAGAAGTTTAGGGCTGGATGCTGCAACCGTCTTCAGAGTCTGCCTGAATTTAGCATGTAAGATCTGTTTGCAAGGCCTGAGAGTCGTTTCATCCACCGCCGCCTCATGACTGGAATGAGATTCAGTCCAACCTACGCAAGAGAGGGTAGTTTAGTCAAAGATGGGATGTAGCGCCTGAGGGTCTTAATAACACGAGGTCCTGTGTTCTGAGCTCTGGAGAAACTTAGAATAGCTGTAATTATCAGTTTCAGGTCACTGGCTCACCTCAGAAAAACGGTGTTTACATTTTGACCTGTTTTGAAAAAAATGCAAGATTTTGTTTTGATTTTCTGATCCTGCTTGTTTTCCATCCACCATCAAACGGCTGGAACGGGAACTGACCATCCGACATCAGCACCTGACCTCACTAATGCTCAATCAAATTCTCACAGCAATGTTCAACATCTAGTGTAAAGCCTTCCCAGAAGAGTAGAGGCTGTCACTGAATTTACAAACTTTTGGACATTTGGTCATAGTTACATATTAGTGATGTTGTCTGTCATGATGAGCTGACAGTGGACACTCAGTAACCTGGCTGAACAGGTTTCGGTTCTGATCCCTGCATAATTAACATTCCTGCATAATTAAGTGGTTATGATGGAAACAGAGCCGTTCAGAGTGGTTTGGTGTGAAACGCTCTGTTCTAGAGAAACTTACCGAGTCAGAACTGTTCACAGTGGTGGTGATAGGAACCAGACGTCCACCTCTAAAAGCTCCCTCACAGAAAGTTCCTACATGAAAAGGTTATGAACAGTGATGTTCATTCTGTCAGTCAGTCAGTTTGTCTGTCTGTCTGTCTGTCTATCAGTCAGTCTGTGTCTGTCTATCTATCAGTCAGCCTGTGTCTGTGTGTCTTTGTCTGTCTGTCTGTCTGCCCATCTGTCTATCAATCAGTCATCTGTCTATCTGTCTATATGTGTATCTTTTTGTCTGTCTTTCTGTCTGTGTCTGTCAGTCTGTCTGTCTGTTTATTCGTCTGAGTTCTGTTTCTGCAGGGTTGGTGTTCAGTTTGTTATTCTGATCAAACGTAAAAAAACAAAAAAATGGGTTCTCTGAGCAACACCACAGAAGAACCCTTTTGCTTCCTTAAAGAACCATGTTTGATAAGGAGATCTGTGCATGTGAAGAACCTTGCAAATGTAATGATTCTTTAACAGTTTAACAGTTTACATTATGTGGTGGTTCTTTAACCATCACTACTGCAGCTAGAACTTCACTGATTAGAATGCCAGTCAGTTACATATCTAGAACTTCCAGAAGGCCTAGAGTGATATTTTTTTCTCTTTGTAATTCACTGTAAATCAAAGCATCATTGGTTGATTCCTCTGTCACTTCATAATTATGCTGATAGTTAATCTAACATGTTAGGACTTCTCTTCAGCTCCTGAAGTCCTGACCAATAAAAGAGCTCGCTCAGCTGTATCTACCTAGATACCACGGAGAAAAACAATTCCTGATTGGTCAGTTCTCCACTGGACATTTGAAGAACATAATCATTTAGTTTTCATCCTAAACTCCACAAAGAAACAGGAGTGGAACTGTAACAGAGTTTAAATATGATCATGATTCTGTTGCATTCTGCAATCTTGCTCTGTCTGTTCATCAAACTCAGAAAACATTCAGAGTCCATTCCTCTCCATCTGCTGTGAATCTGCTGCTTCTCCTCTCTGCTCGTCTCTACTGACTCCATCAGGGCTGATTACGGTCTTGTTTCCATCTCCAGTAAATGAGAGACGACAGATTCTTGTCATTAATCACTCTTTCTGTGAGTCACATGGTGGAATCGATGGTCTTTCATCAGTACGGATCACAGAAGACGTTTATCTTTGCTTTACCAGGCCGTATTCATCCTGCCTCATTGTTTATCGCTACTCCGTCTTTATTGAAGGACAAATCGAGCCGCAGATAAACAGGAAGCAGAGTCGATTAGAGACGGTATCTGCTGGCGGGACTTTCTAGTGATTCTGACGGACAGGACTGAGAGTGACGTAAACACAAACAACTTCTGAACCCCTGAAAATAGCTCAGACTGCTCCTCCTGTCCAGACAGATACTGTTTTAAATGCTTAGACACAGAAGCTCCCATGTAGCCTATTGGGCAGCAAGAGTTCTGGACTCTGGAGAGAGTTTCAGCGTCATCCTGTGCGGTTTGTTCAGTGCCTTCAGGTCTTGGACGAATGTTCGTCTCCAGGTGTTTCAGTAGAGTCTGCAGACCTGCTCTCTCAGCCACAACGGCAGTGCTTAGCGACATCATCACTTAATCCAGGTTCTGTACATCACACAGATAGAGAACTCCATTTAATGTACCTCCCTGTTGGAAAAAATCATAGAAACTACTGGAAGTGTCTGTTGGTTCCTGGTGGTGTCCAGTAGTCACTAATAGTACTCTGTGTTTTCCTGATAGGTTGATATCAAAGGATTCCAATCATTTAACAGGAGTTCTGGGACTGATTCCAGACACATGTGATCATTTCCTAAAGGGATCTAAAGAGGTCCTACAGGAAACTATTTGTCTCTAATGGCAACCATTAAGCTAATTCCCATTAGGAAGCAAAGCAATCCGGTTCTAATCATCTTCAACAGGGTTTTCATGAGTTTAGCGGTATTTCTTTCTGTGAATAAATCCAACATTATGTCTTATCATCGTAGTAGATTTTATTTTAAAAATGACCACATTTAATGACGTTATTTTTATTAGTATGACAACCCAAAATATATGCAGTGTAACTCTCATTGCCCAACAGTGTGTGTTTAGCAGTTTTACTCTTAAAACAAAAGCTGCACTGAAATCATTATTAGGCTGGCAGTGCATGTCAGGCTGAGCTATAAGTCTGCAGCCAAACTCTTCTCATGTCTTTTTGGGTCATCCTTGTTGACATTTGCCCCCTGGGGTACCCATATCATTGCTGTTTTTGGGATCCTCTGGTTCTCCATTTCCTCAGGTGACGATGGTGTGGTGTTTGCGCTCATCAC